AGTACATTACACTCAGCAAAAGCTCAATCACACTACTGGTCATAGTTTTTAACTGTGATGTGTATTTTTTTAGCATGTGCTAGAATGGAATGCACCTTAAACAAATCACATGTTATCCTTTTATTATTTTAAAGCTTTTATTTTTAAACTGTCCAGAGAAGTCTTTTCCCCTCAAAGGTAAGAGAAAAGTACTTTAAAGCAAAGCAAAGCAAAATGTGTTGCTTATGTACTGCTCCATAGCGGTACATAAAGCACCCTATGGGCGGTTTACAATTTAATTATGCAGGCTAAACATTGCCACCCACAGCAAGCTGGATACTCAATTTACCAACCTCAGAAAGATGGAAGGTCTCGGCTACCTGAGCCCATTGGGATCAAACTTAGGTTGTGAGCAGCATCTTGACTGTAGTACTTCATTGTATAACCATTGTGCCATGAGGCTTCTTTGAGTAAATAAACAAATAATCCCTAATCACAGTTTCTGGTAACATAAATCACTGCCCAACCAAATATTTGTGACTAGCAACTCAAGCCAGTAAGGGTAATTTGAATGTTTTTACTTCCGGATTCAAGGTACTGTATTGGAACTTATGTACAAAGCCCTTCATGATAACAGATCCCTGTTACATGCTGGAATGTCTCCATTTAAGAACTTCTGCTCTCTCCACTTGATCTTCTCAAGCCTTGCTGTTGCAGGTGGTCACTCCTAGGGAGGTTCAAAAGGCTGTTACTAGAAATTGAGCCTTTTTAGCTGTGGACCCTTCCTAATGGAATAGGCTTCCTCTGGAGGTTCATTAAGCCCTGTCCTTGATTACTTTCAAGAGGTTGCTGAAGACCAAGCTATTCAAGGAAGCGTTTAGTCACATTCTTCCCTGAGGTGATAGCAGGAATCGGTTTTATTTCACCCCACCGTCATTGTTTGTTGATTTTACTTATGTTTAGGTCTTATAATTTAATTTTAGTATGATGTGTTTGTCCTTCTTGTACTGTTGGAAATTGGGAGTAAATATACTGTTTATGTTTAGAATCACAGAATAATGAAAGTTGTAAGGGGCCAATAAGGCCATTGAGTCCAACCCCCCTGCTCAATGCAAGAACAGAAATCAAAGGATACATGCTAAGTAGTTGTCTAAATTTCTCTTGGATGCCTCCAGTGTTGGAGCACTCACCTCCTCTCAAGGCAGTTATTGGTTCATTGCTGTACTGCTCTAACAATTAGCAAGTTTTTCCTGATATTCAACTGCAATCTGATTTCCTGTAACTTGAGCTCATTGTTGCATGTCTTGCACTCTGGGATAATCAAGAACAGATCCTGCCCCTCCTCTGAATAAAAACCTTTCAGATATTTGAAAAGTGCTATCATATCTCCCTTCACTCTTCTTTTCTCAAGGCTAAACATGTCCACTTCTTCCAGTCTTTCCTCATAGGGCTTGGTTTCTAGCCTCCGGATCATCTTTGTTGCCCTCCTCTGAACTTGTTCCAATTTATTTATTTATTTATTTATTTATTTATTTATTTATTTATTTATACCCCGCCTATCTAGTCATTTTGACCACTCTAGGCGGCTTACAACACAAAAGAAATCTCTTATTGAATCTCAATACAAAAAAAAAAGACCCTTATTGAGTCTTCTTATGCAATGGGGTACAATCTAAGTGATTTGATATTTTCACCACTTGGGCAAAGAGGAATCTAGCGCTTCTTTGTATATGTGTAATTTGGTAGTTTTTAAAGATTATTACAATTCATATACAAGCAAGATGATGCCATTTTATTAGGGCCAACCAGGCTTTATACACTTCCTGAGATCAACAGGATTTTCTTTGGTTTACAGTTTCACCTCAATAATGAAAGTTTACATAAAATTTGTTTATGTAACAAATACTTGTATTCTGTATATACAGTATATTACACAGTTTATATATTACACAGTGTATACAAATGTTAATTGTAATAACCTGAATTACATACTGGGACCCAGTATTAAGACTTTAAGGAATTAGACCTGGCAGATGAATTAATTACCCAGAGAAAGAACAGAAAATCCATTCTAAATGTTGAAAAACGATGCAGTCTTGTTTTTTGCTCCTTCCTCACAAAAATACAATATTTAACTGTGGCATGGGGGCAATACAGAAAAGTCATCACTGTGATCACCAAGTTCACTTGAGTGTATTTATGTATGTAAGCAATAATCATATAAATGACAGCATCCTTCTTGAAGTGTGGTGTCCAGAATTGGACACAGAACTCAAGATGAGGCCTAACCAATGCTGAATAGAGGGGAACTAGTACCTCACAGGATTTGGAGACTATATCTCTGTTAATGCATCCTAAAATAACATTTGTCTTTTTTGTAGGCCCATTTGAATCAATGGAACTTAGGGAGGAGTTGACATATTAAATTCTCATTGATTCAATTTTCTAGTGTAATTTATTACGCTAAGCAACATAATTTGGCTGCTGTATCTCTGATGCATACCACTAAATAAGGTAGAAAAACTGATCTGCTCTCTTGTACTCTTGCTTTTGTTTAGATTGCAAGCTAGTTGAGATCAGTTTTGTTTCTGCTCATGCTGCTTAGCAGAAAAATACAATAGTCATAATCACTGAGTTCCAGTTTAAACACGATGGGCAGAATCACTCATATTTTTACTTTGTACACAACAGTCCTTTTATACATAAAAACAATTCTTTGTCTTCTACTTACATAATTGGGTATTCACTATCCCCTTGAGAAGTGGAAATTGCATGGAGCCTTAGGCCCATGGGGTGTTCAGACCTGAATTTCCTCAACAGGATTCTGTTCATTGGTTTTCAAAGGAGACATTCCAAGCACTATCAGGTGGTTAGGTGTTGGTGACAAGAGTGAATCAAGATACTGACTGGAAAATATTTGCAAAATTTAATAATAATAAGTTAAATAGCCAGAGGATGAAGACAGCTAAAATGCATTACTACGTTTTGAATTTCTGGTTAAAATTATTTTTTGCTATGCAGAAGAAGTACAAGTGCCACAGAGAAGAATAGCTACAAGTTCCCCAGAGTCCACTCCTTTCTCATTAACTGGCACTGAAGGTCTGAAGAACTCACTCTGAGATATTTGCAGGAAAAAGAATAAAAAATATGTCTTTACTTACAGTTACTTGAAACTACAGATTCCTGTATGCGGCTTTCTTTCTCCATGCATACTTAGCAACCAACTGAACTGATCAACAGCAAACAACGATTGGCACAAACAGATTAATGAGAAGGGGAAAAAAATACTCAGTAGACCAATGCGGCTCTCTCTGAATTCAAAGGCTGGAAGAAATAATGGGTTAATGCTGGATGGATATACAGTCATCTCACCCCAGAAAAGTCCCTTCCAGTCACACGAACTAGAGACAGCATGTGAGGTTGCAAATAAAACTCCAACAAAATGTTTCCTGCTTGTCTGGCCAAGAAAGGACTCAGTGAATAAATACCAATAAAGAGAAGAAAATTACAATTTCAAATGTACTGGATGAAAGTGATATCTCTGGTGTTCCATGACAGTTATATATTCATTTAGTGGTGCCTGGCATAGTAATAATTTAGAACACTTTCAGTTTTTGGTTCAGCTGTATAATCTACCTTGATCTTCCACATTCATCAAAGCTTTGTTTTTGTTTATGTTCTGGTCCTGAGATTGGAGAGAACAGTAAGGGAGAGAAAATGCAGCCCCCCTACCTCAACTTTTGATTGCATTTCTGTCCAAATGTCTGTTGTTTTGGCTCTAATTGTAGGTAATTAATGAACAATAATTAGAAACATGCTTTCACTGTGAAATCATTATTTAGTTTTACTATTTTTCTTTTCTTTCATATTTAATGCATTAATATCAGTCTGGATTCTGCTAGTGTTTTTTTTGTAGCCCAGCATACCTTTTGTGTATTTCTTCTGCACATTTGCAGGGTATGTACCTTCATTGTTCATTAAGTACTATTCATGATGATCTGCAGCAGTAATGGAAGCTGGGTCTGCTCAATCACAGTTCAAGATAAGATGCTAAGAGTTTGGCAGAATATATTGTCACAGTTTATCAGGAGCTATAAAAAGCCAGGAAGAAAGTTCATTGTGATAGTGGAGAAAATGGATGAGTTAGGAATACCAAATATTCAGCTATACAGTCGTACGTCTAGATTTGCAGTGTTATCCGCTTGATAATTATGATTTGACTGTTAAATCTGATCAGCCTTTGCTCCTTCCTGAGCAACTATATTTATATCCTACAACGACTAACAGCCAAGCTATCCAAGATGCCAGTCCTGTAATAAAAAGGTGATAAAATGTTATCCTTCCAGAAATGCTTTCCTTCAAAGCTGCCAGGTTTTCCAGTTGTCATTTCTGCCAAGCCCCAAGTAAGCCCAAATAATCAATCATCAACAAAAGCAAGGTAATTTGGAGCCTGTGGGGCTATGAAACCTTTGGTTGGAATAATCAAACTCCTTTTACTTCTTAAGGTCCTGTTTCTGATTGAGAAGCTGGTGTCATTTGGTCCTGTTATGGACCAGGGAGGCAAACATGTGATTCACCAGGTGTTGCTGAACTGTAACTCCCGTAAATCCAAGTCAGTATAGCTAATAATGAGGGATGATGGGAATTGCAGGCAGGCAAAATATGTCCACAAGATGCCTACTCCCGATACAGCCATTTGCAGAAGGAAAAATATTTTTAGAACATCATTGTACCATTGTTATTTTAAAAAATCTGAAGAGATTAAAAAACTAAAGCTGGAAATGTCATCATGTCTCATTCTTCTCTGCTGTCTGCTCCTAGCACTACTGCTATGATCCAAATTAGTTGGCTCTCTTCCTCCAACTTCTTCTAAGAAGCAGGAGATCCTGGGAATGTGTTTTTTGGCCCTGTAATGTCTACTGTTTGCTTCAGGGGGACAATACACTCTTTTCCCCATTAATTAGTAAAAACAAACTACTGTCTCACATTTCATTCACATTTCAATTACGCTTGCATTTCAGAACGTTTCAGGATCTTTCCAAGCAAATGGACGTGTCATACGGCACTGTCAGGGATTCTGCGGTTTATGAATACTTCAAAGCAAAGGGAACAAACCCTTTAGAGCAAGATAGCACCTTTGCTGAACTGTGGAAGACCATCAGTAAGAATAATGGAGTTGATAACTGTGTAGCAAACCCTTCCGATGGCATCAGGAAGGTAAGAAGAGATGCATAATGAATGTATACAAGTTTCATTTAATATTTTTATTTAGAATTGCACAGATCTGTGTTATGTTTTGTTATAATAATCAGTTTGCATTAAAAATAGTTGGGTTTTTTTTTTAAAGTGATGTAAATCACAGTTATTGCAATTTTGGCTCTTGTTCCCAAGAAAGCTGCAATTCTATTTGGGAAAAGATTGGTGATGTCTTTTTCTTTTTCTGTTCTTTTTCTTTTTAAGCACTAAGGTTGGCACTTAGGTGACAATCAAAAGAGCATTGCCTTTGAAGAACTAACAGTTGGATCTCAGGCTTCCAATTGAGAATGACTATTGTTCTAATCCATTACAAGTTTTACTATGTTTCTTGTACTTCTTTGTGAATTCCTGTTCCGTACAGTTTTCTTCCCAAGTCAGACTGTTATTCTCTCTTCTTTAATGTACTGAATCAGTTGCTAAGCTAGTGGTTTAAATTCAGCCCTGGAAGAAATTTGTTTATTTAAGATTTGTACCCTGCTAAGCACAGCTCCAGAAATCCCTTGAGTGGCTAATAATATTGTGTAAAAAATAAATACAATATAAATTCAGAACGATCTTGTTAAAATTATATGCGGAGGCATGAAGCAACAACCACATAAAAATCTGGCAACATAACAAAAGCATTAAGCAACACACCTAGAGAATTTTATAATGAGGAGGAACCAGTATTCTTCACCAATGTTGCAGGGAGTACTCTACTGAATTTACAGGTAGATTTTATATTTTCCAAAAACATTAAATCAAATGTCTCTGTTTCTTGTTTCCAGCATTCATAGAGTTAATTCCATATGAAAACTTAAACCATGACATCCCCCGCTAGAGTCTTGGAGGTCTAATCATCATCATCTTAGTTTGAAGTCTTTACTCCCTTTTCTCTCCTTTTCCCCCATTTTTTTTACATTTGATTATTTTTTATAACATACATACCTATAAAAAAAAAACCACAGAAATACTGTACCTACAAAAAAATAACACATAAAACTAACAAAACATACAAGACTAACAAAACATACAGGCGGGGAGGTATTTCCCATACCAGCTTATCTATTACAGTGGTGCCTCGCATAGCGAGGTTAATCCGTTCCGGATTAACCTTCGCTATAGCGAAACATCGCTAAACGGAAATTAAAAAGCCATAGAAACGCATTGAACTTTGTTCATTGCGTTCCTATGGCTTTAAAACTCACCGTTAAGCGATCTTCCTTCATAGCGCCGCCATTTTCGCGCCCTCGGTAAGCGAGGGCAGGGCGCAAAAATGCAGTGCGGACCTTCCAGCGGCCATTTTGGAACTGCCGATCAGCTGTTCTCCCCCGCTTCGTTATGCGATATTCGCTAAGCGAAGCGCTTAGCGAATATCGCAAAGCAAAAAAACGCCATAGGGGCCATCGCTGAGCGAATGCTCCAGCGATGGCCCAGAGCCCCTCGTTAAGCGATTTAATCGCTCAGCGGAGCGCTCGTTAAGCGAGGCACCACTGTATATAAATTCTGACTACATGGATAATATATCCGTGTGCACCTGCACATGTTATATTCCACATCCCTATTTTGTGTATCTAATTAAGTATCTAAACATCCTAAATTTATAATAAATTTTGTAAATTCCCTCATCTGCATTTCCATCCATCTAACTCTCATCATAAACATTTCCAATTTTCTCTTAAAAATTACTTATCCACCATAATATCCACACAGGCCTGTTCATTCCTCGATGATCTCCATTCTTATATACAGAAAACTATATATCTAATCTTGTCAGCATAATCACTGTTCTAGTTCACGCATATTTGATATTTCCATATACGTGCCTTAGAACAAAACATCCAATATTATTATTCATCATCATTTCTAAAGTTCATAAGTCACATACGCATGTCTAACCTTAAATTTCATGTCTGGCCGAATTTGCTTATAGTATATTAGTCATTTATTATATCTTAAATCAATTAATTTCTATTATTTATTCAGCAAGTAACTTCCTCCTTTCTGATTTTTATTTATCAACTCCAGTGTCATCAAAACAGGATTAGCCTCTCTAATCTTGTCAACATTGTCACTATTATAATCACACATATTTAATGTCTCAATATACGTGCCTCACAAAGAAAGTGTTTTCCAGTTTTGAAATGACATCTATAATATTTCTTTAAGACATTTTCTGTACGGTTGACTAATTTCATCCCAATGTAATCAGTGGTTTGGTTTTGGAGCAACACAGTGTGTGATCTCTGATTGTAAATTTCTGCCCTCAGCTTTGCCCATTTCTCCCCCTTTACATTCTTTCTTTTCAGAACAGTCTTGATATACATTCTCCCTTCCCTGCCACCCCCTTTTGTCTTTTTAAGGCATCTTTTGAAAAAAAAGGAATCTTTTTCTTCTCTCTCTCTGACTCTGGTTTCTCTTCAGATTGTACAAATCCTTCGCCTCTCTCTGATGACGGCAGCTGTTCCATGATAGGTCTGTTCTGCTGTGAGGCAATTTCCCCCTCCGACATTAAAGGCTGTTCATTAAGGATCTGGTTAAGTTGTCTGTCCTTGCTTTCGATTTTTTCGTGCAGAGCAGAAAAAGTCATTTTCAAGTCCATTCTGATCTCCTCAAATTGCGTCTTAAAATGATTAATTATGTTAAATTGTCATTCTTGAAGAAGTCCCTTGATATAATCCATTGTGCGTTCCGATGATGATTCCCCCCCTCCTTCCATGGCCGCAGCAGTCAGTAGGTTAATTAGATTTCCCACATGATTTATTAGCTAGTTCGCACTTAAAGTCTTACGAGGGGGAACCCCATGGATGTTATTTGATTTACAGACCGCCTTGTAACCAGATACAGAGTCACTTAGGTTAACTTTTGCAGAGTTATTTAGAGTTCTTAAGTCCTGACTTTATAAATTTATGAGAAGCCAGTTTCTCTGGTAGTGAGGGTTAAGAGAGAAAAAGAGCAAGTTGGTTTCATTTCCGAGCTGTGGCATAGTAAAGAAAACTCCGATGTTACAGGCACCAACAAAGTTATGCCGCTTGAGATCTTCCTTCGCATCAGCTTTCAAATAGCAGATTTGATCTTTTACTTGCGGTAGCTTAGCAGCAGATCGTTAATCTCTGTTTTGCAGTCAGATAATAAATCTCAAATACCTCCCCTCTCCGAGCAGCTAACTCACCATCATGGCAACTTCACGAGACAGATTGCGTGTAGGAAGGGAACTCTTCCAAAAAACAGACTGCCATCTGAGATTCGGCAGTTCCAAAGCCCCCACTTGCTAGCAAGTCCCACTCTCCTGTGGGAACTTGCCCCCCCTTCTCCGGGGGGGGGGGTCCTCTGACTTGGAGTAAAGCCAGGGGAGTCCAGGGCCCTGGAATTTCCCCTGTTCTCGCTGCTCTATGCTCCTCCTCCATCCAAATCCTCCCTTTTCTCTCTTAAGACCTCATAGAGGCACCATTATTTCAACATCAGGTCATATTTCCTCCACTTCTCCCAATGCTGTTTGTAACATCAGGCTTGATGAAAACATTTGGAAGTTATAAATGCTTGCACACATTTCTGTGCCCTTTGGGTTAGCTTGATAAAAAAATACTGTATTGATGTGGATTTTGGAATTTGACTTATGGGCAGTTGAGATATATTTGTGTTTAATGTAAGCTATTGGGAGTGTAAGGACATTGATCATCAAAGAACCATCACTTCCAGATCAGTCGTCAACTCTTCTGTGTTATCTAGACTGAGCTTTCATGTACTGTCTCTTGTACAGACCAGAACTAACTTCAAGTGACTGTTTAAAATACATATCTCTCTATCAGCTTAAAAGGAGGAACAGACTTGAAGGAAATCGTTCTGGTGCTGAGATCCAGTAGTAAGCTGCAGCTAGAATATGCCCATTGGATCAGTGGAACTTACAGAGGAATGAATTCATTAAATCCCCACTGAATCAATGGGTCTACTCTAATTGTGACATTGTACTGGATTTCAGCCAGTAGAAGCAAATTTCAGTTAGCAAGACTAAGAGTTAAAAGCTCACCAGTTGTCCTTTTCATTTGCTTTGGTTCCAATGTATTAGTTGATTATGAAACACTTATCAAAAACGGTATCGCCCCTTGACTAAAATGTATGTTGTAGCTGAAAATGACAGATAGATTTTTCTGCATATTTGATAATATGCATAATTATTTAAATTTAACCAACTAATTGAGCAATCAGCTACACTTATTTTAGTTTATCGATATGGGGCTAGAAACAATGACTCTAAAGAGGTGTCTCAATTGACATATGCCTCTGTGAGTTAATGCACAGTGTAACTTAGACTGGCACAGAGGAAATTACGGTATGTAACTGGCAATGACAGATTGCTGCTAATTAAAGAGACAACCACTTCAATTTCTCATTGTTTCAACTTGCACACAAGTTGCATGTTATTTGGAATCAAAACAGAAACTCTTTAATTAGTAGCAATTTACCAATTTGCCACTGCCAACATAAATTGAGCAAGAGGATTTTGGTCTGCACTAGGAAGTTCATACTTTGAGGAGCAGCTGGCCAACATATGGTAAATACATACTTCAAAGTGCCCCTTTTTGTATGGACTTGTGAAATCCACCATTTGGGGTAGGAAAATTAGGGACAGCTGACGGATGACTAGAATCTCTTCAAAATATAACTATTCAACAGGAAAAGTACAACTCTGCTTAGAGGTAGACTAGACAACTGTTCAGTTGAAAAGCCCTTTTGGTCATCCTTTTGGCTAAGGGACCCAAACTCTAAACCTAACCCTAATCCAGCAGCCAGAGACAAACAAAGGACAGAGATAAGCTAAGTCGAGCTGGGAGTTGGTCACCATTCTTTCCCAGGAGATAAATCTCCATTATTATTA